CTTCCAGAGGGTTGTAGATATTGCTAAACGAATTGATATGGTTCGTGGTCAGGAGAGGGGGTCAGTGCTCAATAAGGGAGATCGTCATTCCGGTAGTTTCAGTGGTGCCTCATCTGGAGGTAGGGGTACTTTTGGTATAGTCCATCCTCCCATGACATTTCAGTCAGTGCTTCAGGCATCTCACAGTGCTTTGGGGAGTCATGGTCCTTATGTATCTCATTCTAGGCATCCAGCCTACAGTGCATCATCAGCTCCTATTAGTGTGCCTCCGATCCAGAGTAATCATTGTGGTTATCCGAGCCGTTCGGGTCGGCTTCAACTTCAGCAGCCATAGCAGCATGATGGGTGTTTTTAGTGTGGAGGTACTGGTTATATCAGGGGGTTTTGTCCGATATTGTTAAGCGACATACCACAACAGAGTTCTCGTGCCATGGTTTCGGCACCTGTTGCTCCACCGCCCGCTCAGCCAGCTAGATGAGGCGGCTAGGAAGTGAGAGGTGGAGGTCAGGTCGTTAGAGGTGGAGGCCATCCATCTAGAGGTCATCCCAGAGATGTAGGTCAGAGTGGTGGGGCCCAACCTCGATTTTATGATTTCCTAGATAGACTTGAGGCCGAGTTATCTGACATTGTTATCACAAGTATTGTTTCAGTTTGCCATAGAGATGATTTAGTTCTATTTGATTCGGGCTCTACTTATTCCTACGTGTCATCCTATTTTGCTTCATATATGGTTGTGCCTCGTGATTCTTTGAGTGCTCTTGTGTATGTGTCCACGCCTATGAGAGATTCAATTGTTATAGATCGTTTCTATCGTTCGTGTGTGATTACCATTGGGAGTTTTAAGACTAGTGCAGATCTCCTACTTCTTGATATGGTATACGCTGATGTTATTTTGGGTATGGATTGGATATCACCTTATCATGCTATATTAGACTGTCACGCCAATATGGTGACCTTAGCCATGCCGGAGTTGCCTCGATTTGAGTGGAAGGAGACTCCTGGCCATTCTACCAGTAGAGTTGTTTCTTATGTCAAGGCTCTACGTATGGTCGAAAAGGGATGTCAAGCGTATTTGGCCTATATTCATGATTCTAGTATGGAGGTTCCTTCAATGGATTCAGTAACAGTTGTGCGTGAGTTTCTAAAGGTAGTTCTTACATATCCACCGGGGATGCCACCCGATAGATATATTGACTTCTATATCAATTTGGTTGCGGGCATTCAACCCATTTCTATTCCACCATACCGTCGCCGTAGTTGAAGGAACTGAAGGAGAAATTGCAAGATTTGCTTGATAAGGGATTTATTAGACCTATTGTCTCTCCTTGGGGTGTGCCAGTATTGTTCGTGAAGAAGAAGGATGGCTCGATGAGTTTCTGTATAGACTATTGGCAGTTGAACAAGGTCACTATCAAGAACAAGTATTCGTTGCTGAGGAATAATGATTTATTTGATCAGCTTCAGGGTGCCAAGGTGTTTACAAAGATTGATTTCCCGAAGATGGATTTTCGAACTCGGTATGGGCATTATGATTTGGTAGTAATGTCATTTGGGTTGACAAATGTCCCAGTATCATTTATGGATTTGATGAACCGGGTGTTCATGCCCTATTTGGATTCTTTTGTGATCGCATTCATTGATGATATCTTATCTACTCTCGTAGTCGATAGGACCATGAGCAACATCTTTGGATTGTACTTCAAACTCTGAGAGATAGTCAGTTATATGCCAAGTTTTAAAAGTGCGAGTTTCGGTTAGACTCAGTCGCCTTTTTGGGGCATGTCGTATCGGTAGAGGGAATAAAGGTGGATCCTAAGAAGATTGAGGCAACTGGCCTAGACCTACTTCAGCTACAAAGATTGGGAGTTTCCTTGGTTTGGTGGGTTATTATCGACGGTTTGTGGAGGGCTTTTCATCATTAGCAGCCCCATTGACTAGATTGACCTAGAAGGGTGCTCTATTCATGTGGTCAGATGAGTGTGAGTTGATCTTTTATAAGCTCAAGACTCCTTTGACTATGGCGCCAGTATTGGTTTTGCCCACAGGTTCAAGATTTTACATGGTGTATTATGACGCATCCCGTACTGGGATAGTGCAGTATTGATGCAGGATGGAAAGGTGATTACATACGCGTCATGGCAGTTGAAGTTCGTGAGAAGAACTGCATTGTTCATGACTTAGAGTTAGCAGCCATTGTTCATGTGCTGAAGATTTGGAGGGACTATCATTACGGCATGTCGTGTGAGGTATTCACGGATCATTAGAGTCTACAGTATTTGTTCAAGAAAAAGGATCTCAACTTGAGGCGAAGGAGGAGGTTGGAGATGTTGAAAGACTATGATATCACCATTTTATATCATCTCGGGAAGGCCAATAGGGTGCCCAATGCCTTGAGTAAAAAAGACTGTGAGTATGGCTAGCCTTGCGTATATTCCAGTTGGGGAGAGGCCGCTAGCATCATATGTTCATGCTTTGACCAATCAGTTCGTGAGGTTAGATGTTTTGGAGCCTAGTCATATGCTATCTTGCACGGTCTCTTGGTCTTCTTTGTATGAGCGCATCAGAGAGCGTCAGTATGATGACCCACATTTGCTTGTCCTTAAGGAAACGGTGCGGCACAATGGTGCCAAGCAGGTTACTGTTGGAGATAATGGGGTGTTGCGGATGCATGGTCGGATTTGTGTGCCCAATGTAGATGGGCTTCGTGAGTTGATTCTTGAGGAGACCTATAGTTCCCTGTATTCCATCCATCCGGGTATCGCCAAGATGTATCAGGACTTGCGGCAGCATTATTGGTGGAAGAGAATGAAGAAGTATATAGTTGCATATATAGCTCAGTGTCTGAATTGTCAGCAAGTAAAGTATGAGCATCAGGGGCCTGGTGATTTGTTTCAGAGGCTTGCGATTCCTGACTAGAAGTAAGAGCGTATTACCATGGATTTCATTGTTGGGATTCCACAGACTCACAAGAAGTTTGACGCACTATGGTTCATTACGGACAGGTTGACCAAGTTGTTACATTGTATTCCAGTGGTAGTTACCTATTCTTCAGAGCAGTTAGCTGAGATATATATCCGCAAGATCGTCCATCTTCAAGGTGTGCCCATGTCCATCATTTCTAATCGAGGTACGCAGTTCAACTCGCATATCTGGAGGGCTGTACAACGGGATTTAGGCACACGAGTTGAGTTGAGTACAATATTTCACCCCCAAACGGACTCGCAGTCCAAGCCACCATTCAGATATTAGAGGATATGTTTCACGCTTGCGTTATGGATTTCGAGGGTTCTTGGGATCAGTTCTTGCCGCTTGTAGAGTTTGCCTACAACTACAACTACCAGTCAAGTATTCAAATGGCTCCCTATGAGGCATTGTACAGGAGGCAGTGTCATTTGCCAGTTGGGTGGTTTGAGCCGAGCGAGGCTCGGTTGTTGGGTACCTATTTGGTTCAGGATGCCTCGAATAAGGTCAAGATTTTTCAGAATCGACAGCTCAGACTAGATAGAAAGGTTATGCCGATCGTAAAGTTCACGATGTTGCATTCATGGTTAGAGAGAGGGTATTGCTTCGAGTTTCACCCATGAAGGGTGTGATGAGGTTCGCAAAGAAGGGCAAGTTGAGCCCTAGGTATTCAGACCATTTGAGATTCTTCAGAGAGTGGGAGAGGTGGCCTACAGGCTTGTATTGCCACCCAGTTTATTAGAAGTCCATCTAGTGTTCCTATGTCCATGCTCCGGAAGTATCACGGTGATCCGTTCCATGTGTTAGATTTCAGCTCAGTATATGTCACGACCCAGATTTTGCTTCGTATGTTGTCGTGATGGCACCTAGTCTCTACGACTAGGTAAGCATAACACTAAATGAATTAAATGATAGCAATTAACCAACATAACTATTATGCAAAAAACCCGATATTTCTTAATGAAGCCAGCATTTCCAATATGATATAATATCTTAAATCCGGTAGTAAAAGTCATAAGCTCTACGGAGTTTACTAGAAAAATCCCTAAATATAAATGTTTAGGAATAGAAATAAACAGTACAGGTGAGGATCTCGAAACACACACTTAAATTATACTCGCTAATCAAATATAGTATAGTATAATATTGTATCCACATGGATTGGATTTAAACAGTATTCTCATAGTTTCTAGCTTGATTGCTATCCAAGATTATCAACAATTGAGATTTATATGATTTCTAATCACAATTAACTAAGAGTCTAAAGCTATTGACTAATGACAATCGCAACAAAGGAATAAGCAAAGAAAGTTGTCAGTGGGAGAATATAGGGTTTTGATAGGATACGTGCAAGATAATTGTTTGGGATCTAACTCTAGATAATTCACTTCTAATGTTCAAGTGAGTCTCTCTAATTCACTCAATTATTAGTTCTAACGTTCAGCAAAAACTCCTCTCTCGATTAAGTTTTAACTTCACAAAATGAACCAATTTAAGCACGTGAAGATATGCAAGAATGCGTAGTGGATTGGTCTTTAGGAGAACCTCTCGAGACACTACTAGAAATTACGCATATGGAAACCCTTCTAAAACTATGGCAATAGATACAATAACCGCCCATGTAGGGCTAATGGGACGGATTGGGACGCGTTCCAAGATTCAATGTTACAATAGGGAAATTGGAAAGCTTTTTCTAACAAATATAGGGATATTGTCACGGTTATGCAACTACTACCATTGTTCCATCTATGGGAACGGTTATCTATTCTGTTGGGACGGTTATAAATCGTTGTGGTACAATTATACCTGTGATTTTTTTAAGTCTATTGCAACGGTGTTTGTGATATATTGGTACAACTATCAGTATCCTATTACAACGGTTATTAGGGGATGTTATTATTAGCTAGGTCTATTGGAACGGTTATATTCTCTATTGCAACAATTCACAATTGTAATTTTTGATATTTATGGAAGCAAAAGGAGGAATATTTCCCTACGCAATGAAATTTTATACACCATAACCTATATAAACCACAAAATAAAATTAAAATACCCAACTAACATTATCCATAAACAAAAACAAAATATGAATACATTGTTTGATCAACAATTCAAAAGTTAAAATAGATGAGTTTGCATAAAAAAATAAAGTTCTAAACTAAAATATCCTTGAACATGACAATAGAAAGTCTAACAACGATCAACAACACTCAAGTAAGGTCTTCGTCACTGCTTTCATCCACAATCGATGCACCTGCAAAATACAATTAGAAATAATTGAACAATATTTTTAAGATAATTGAATGACAATTAAGTGCGCACCAAAGCAGTCGAGGTGCAGCAACAAGTGATTGGGCAGTCAAATATGCAGATAGTTTCATGCGTGCAGGAGAAGAGAGCTGGGGTGCACAAGGTTGTGTGTTCAGATTTGGGTGTAATTGATGATTGAGCTAATTCAGTAATCAAAACAGTCGAGGTGCAGCAACATGTTCTGGATAAAACATATGGTAAAGATGTGAATGAAGAATCTCGGCAACTTCAGCAGGTGGTTCATGATAAATCTGGACAAAGTTCAACAGTAGTATCTCGATTCCTTGGTGTTTCTGATGGGACTAAAGAAGATAAGAATGAGAAGTCAGCTAACACAAGTGCTCGGAAAATTCCTAAATATCAGAACTAGGTCTCTAAGGACGCAAAACCTATAGAAACAGGTGCACAAAATAATTCACCTGATGCTCTTGATGCTGGTGCACGAACAGCTGGTTTGGATGATGTTATTGTCAATCCATCCGGTTCTAAAAGAGTGAAAACAATCATCGAAAAGAGTCTATGAGGGTGCATATTCAAACATGTTTTGAGTTGCAGATTTCATGATGATGATATCTTAAATAGTCAAGTCATACATTTTCTACTTTATCCATTACAGTTATTTGTAATGGATTATTGTATTGATGTTGCTAAGATGGTGAGTTTTTAGGTGAAGGGGCCTACTGGTGAACAGATTCATGATCTTCGTTACAAAAATAAGTGAGAAGTCCGAGTTTGTAGCTCATCATGAAGCAGAGAAAGAAGAAAAACAACAGCCATGGCCAAGAAGAACTAGAGGAAACATCGCATGGTATTAGGCTACTACATAAAGTTTAAAGTTCACATGGAATCCTGTAGCATCTGAATTTTGACTTCCAAAGGAGAATTGACATTGAAGCCGTTTTCCTTGGTTGTCAAGCCCTGGGAGTGCATTTGTACTCCCACCTTGGTCATTCTCACCAATAATTTCCTCATCTGGAATCTAAAAGCAAAAAAGAAAAAGGTATTGTTTGCAAACTAGAGTTCATTTCTCTTGCTTTTAGAAAAGAAAAATCCACAATGGGTAATATCGATGAGAAATCGTCCCATAGCAAGTTCCGTAGGTGAAAAATTAACATTTAAAATACAATGACTAACTTGTGTTTGAGAAACCAAACACCATTATGCTCTCTTCGAATAACACGCATTTCTCATCAGAAAAGTAAAGCTAAAGCACACGTATTAAGATATTATTGGTGTATGCGCAATTAAATATAGATTCAAATACCAGGCAAGCTTGTGCCTTCAAATCTTCAAGATTGAAGTTCCAGTTGCTAATCCCACGTTTATATTCATTATGCACATGATGTTGAATCAAGAATAAGGTTCAACTTATAATGTTAAAAACGTTTTTTAAAGGATTGTACCTTAAATACAAGCCAAAGAAAGAGAAAAATGGTAGGAACAGATACAATTTAAGTTAGTTTCTTTTCTTTGCTTTTAAGCACAATTTGATATGTCTTGTGTCATCTGAAAGATGATGTACAGATGTAGTTAAGTTCATTTCTTTTTTACACTCTACTAGAAGCTGTATTCTTAGAACTACAAATCTCTGGGTTCAATGATCAACAAATAACCTACAAGTTCAGAAAGCCTTGTCCATAAAGTGGCAATCCTACTTTTTGCTGGGCAAACATAGGGGCTTATTCTTTAGGTTCCAAATTAATATGATATTATCGTAGGTACAAAGCATAGCAAAATAATATGTATGGCGAACTAAATATGATTCCTTAATCTCTTTTCCCAGCAAACTGTCAGTATCCTGTTTTATGTCTAAGCCAGTAAAAAGTATTACCTATATTCATCTGGTATATCTAATCTAAACAGCAGGTATGAAGATGCAGGAAAGTCAATTGAGCTGCATTAAACTAGCGACTCTAAGTTGTATGAGTTACTACTTCTAGTTCTAGTTTTCTACCTATTTGGTTTCTTCTACAAATTTGCCAGAATTAAGCATTTAACATAGAAAGGGAACCAGCTTATTGCCTAATGCATGCCTATCCAATGAGTGTGAGTGTGTGTGTGTGTGTGTGTGTGTGTGTGTGTGTGTGTGTGTGTGTGTGTGTGTGTGTGTGTGTGTGTGTGTGTGTGTGTGTGTGTGTGTGTGTGTGTGTGTGTGTGTGTGTGTGTGTGTGTGTGTGTGTGTGTGTGTGTGTGTGTGTGTGTGTGTGTGTGTGTGTGTGTGTGTGTGTGTGTGTGTGTGTGTGTGTGTGTGTGTGTGTGTGTGTGTGTGTGTGTGTGTGTGTGTGTGTGTGTGTGTGTGTGTGTGTGTGTGTGTGTGTGTGTGAGAGAGAGAGAGAGAGAGAGCAAGCAGGATCTGAATATATACTTTAAGACAACGATATACATACCATACCATATACTATCACTCATGCACGTCTAATAACCCTTATGATTACAAATTCACAAATTCCAGTTCTAATATATAATTTAGTATAAAGATATCAAATCATCATAGTCTTCTTCTAGTGACGTTGCCTATGGTTATGGCACAGAACCTGTGACATTTCTTCTTTCTGCCCATCTGGTATCTTCTTTTGTGCTAGCATGTCTTCTTTTCTCTACAATTAAGAAAGGTTCTTGTTACCATAGAAATATTGAGGTTGTGTTATCATCTAGATGGAACATATATGGCTTCAAAGAGGAAGATTAGGGCATTTGAAGGCATGAGAAGGCAGCTAAAACAAGTGCTCGGCAAATTCCTAAATATCTACTACTAAAAAAATCAGGTTTTAGCGACGGACAAATTCTGTAGCTAAACAGAAAAATCCATCGCTAGTCTCATTTAGCGATGGATTAGCAACGGATTAGTAAGAAATTCTGCTAGCTACGAGCGTTTTAACGACGGATTAGCGACGACGTTCATAGTTGATTCTAATTTTTTTTTGTAGTGATCAGAACCATGTCTCTAAGGACGCAGAACCTATAGAAACAGGTGCACAATATTAGTTTTTTAACCATTTTTCTCATGTAAATCTAAGTTTGAAACAAAGTTCTTAGTCACTAAGTACACTGATACCACTTGCAATAGATACTGCAATACAGAAACTGCCACCATTGGTGCTGCAATATGAGTCAACTTCCCAGTTCTTCATAATAAGTATCACATTCCCTTGATATTATTAATCTGCTGTTTTCTCCATTTTCCAGCCATTTAAACCAAACTGTTAAACTTTGGAGAACAACCTTCTTTTGTTGGAAGGCATGGAAGCAAAATTAATATAATCGCACATGATTCGTTTTCACTATCTAAGGGCTCAAGTGTTTTGGCTAAAATTTACCAACTGAGGATTAAGAACTCCTACAACAACTACTATTATGCCTCAATTACAAGCAAGTTGAAGTTTGCTATATCTATCCTCACTGACCATATAAACTCGTCTCAACAGAAACAGTTCTTCCATGGATTCAACCTTGTTTAAATTTGAAAACATTAGCTACAGATATATGCCGCAGCTCTGATTTCAATTGGATTGTACATACCAACTTATAAGTTCATCGTATTAGGTGTTTCCATGTCTTCTATCCATAGCACCTTTCATTTGCTTAAAAGTTTACTGTACATATAATAGTTTAAGGACTTGAGTCTTGTACCTTTACATTTTATAATGAAGTTGACAGGACTAGAATTAGGCCGTCTTTTCTGCCTTTGCTTAGAAAGAGGTTTGGATATTCACTGTTCTAGGAAAGTTCTACTATTGTGAGACATATTGTGACCAAATAACATCGTAAAATTGGACAAAATATGTAATTGGAAATGGGTAAATTAATTTCCTAGGTCGTAATTATAAAGAAAAGACCTCAACAGTTTACAACTTGCACAGAATGCTTATAGCTTTTCGTTCTTTGCACTAAGTTATGAATTACAACTATGAGAATATGATTGACGACTACTTCCGAAAGTTTATTAGATGGATTTTAAGGATTAGATAGCATCATTTTTACCAAACAAGAAAATTTAGAAAGGCAAGCAATTTGTAGAAGAATAACCCCAATGTCTAATAGACGTAAAGGCAAATAGTTACCCGTTAGACTAAAGTACAAACATGAACGAATCTCACAATTTTAAGTGAAAGCTGCACAAGCATAATCGGACAGAAGTAAAAGAATGTGTTTATCAAAAATATTACCAGAGAAAGAAAAAAGGAGCAACGAAACGGTTTTTCTGAATAACCAAGATAGCGAACAACGAAAATCAAACATCGAACATCGATAGCAAACATCGAATAAAGAAAATCTCATGGTTTCAAACAGAAAATCAAAACCTAATAAATAAATCCCCCAATTGTGCAAACTAGAAATCACAAAATGTATCATGTAATACAAACAAAGAAGAAGTAAAATAATGGGTTTATCAAAACTATTACCAGATAAATAAAGAAAGCATAAGGGGAAAAAGAAAGCGAAAATCGAATAGTTATACAAACATCAAACAGGGGAAAAATCGATAGCCTACCTCGGAGATTGCTTGTATGTTAGCCGAAATTGGTCGTCATTCATCGGTAGTTGCCTTCCTTCGCCGGATCTGGCTGAGAGAGATGGTCGATGGTGAGGTCGATGTGTTCTGGGTTGAGGCTGAGAGAGACGATGTCTAATTCCAGGTTTTGAGAGTTAGAGAGAGTGACTGAACATTTCATAATAATGTTTTAATTTAAAATATGAAAGAGTTATTAAAATATTAATGGGGTCATTTATTTTGTTTTTGTTTTTAATAAATATGTAGGAGGGAAAAGTAAACCGTTCCAATATACTTTTATGTTATCAAACCGTTCCCACAGGTAACTCTATCATATCGCCTTTACAAACCGTCTTCATACTTCATATATTTACTTATGGTGACAGTTATTATATTATTGGAACGTTTATTATAAAATCGTTTCACAATAATCGTTCCAAACAAAATTATTTTTTAGTAGTGAATTATCCTCCTAACTAGGTTTAATTAATGATTCAACAAGCCTCTTTCGATTACTAAGAAGAATTAATGAACTCAACCAACAATATAATGCAAAGATATCACCAGTTATGCCTCTCTCGATTACATGAACTAGTGAATATAGATGCACCAATTAAATCATCCAAAAACGCTTCAATACATAAAACTAGAGTTATAATCCATAAACAATCATCAATACACCAAATCCATAAAACCCTAAAGAGAAATACTCCGTAGATATGGAGCAATTCATCACAAATATAATTAAAGTATTGTAAAACATAAATTTGATCCAAACTCGGGTTTTGAGTGAGGAAGGAATGTTGAAATCCTTGTGTTTTTGCTCCTCCAACTCCTCCTTAGCTTCCTTAGGTCTAAAGTGTGTCAAAAGTCCAGAAAATACAAATTTTTGTTCCATGTATTTATACCAAGTAGGGTTAGGGCCAAAAATAATCACCATTTCCTAGCCGAAATAGGAAAACGTGCAAACTTATTGCTTTTCATGCGCCGCACTATGCGTAGCAGGGTGTGTAGCATTAGTGCTTTTTCTTGTCAGACCACAGAAACCCAGCCTCTGAACTTCATCAATTCATGACACAAAATTACACTGATGTGTCGCATAGTGCGTTGCCTAGTGTGTCACACTAGTGCATTTCTTTAGTTATTTCTTCTTTCTTGATTTTTGTAGTCCAGAATTGATCCTCGGCCCCGAACGCAATCTCAGCTTAATCCCTTGGGCTTTTACTCAGATTTCAAAGCTCCAAATAGCTCGAATTAGTTCCACAACATCTACATAACTCGAAATCACTCTTACAAGGTATAAAACATAATTTCGATCCAAACTCGAGTCTTGAGTGAGGAAGGAATGATGAAATCCTTGTGCTTTTGCTCCTCCAACTCCTCCTTAGCTTCCTTAGGTCTAAAGTATGTCAAAAGTCCAGAAAATACCGTTTTTCTACGTATTTATAACAAGTAGGGTCGGGCCCAAACGAAATCACCCTTTCCTAGCTGAAATAGGAAAGCTTGCAAACTTATTGCTTTTTATGCGTCGCCCTATGCGTAGAATTCGTGCTTTTTCTTGTTAGATCACAGAAACCCAGCTTTTGAACTTCGTCAATTCCTGACACAAAATTACACTGTTGCGTCGCACTAGTGCATTTCTTTAGCTGTTATATTTTCCTTGATTTTTGACATCCAGAAGTGATCCTCGACCCCCGAAGACGATCCTGGCTTAATTCCTTGGGCTTTTACTCAGACTTCAAAGCTCCAAATAACTTGAATTAGTTCAACAACATCTACATAACTCGAAATTACTCCTACAAGGCATAAAACACATAATAAGTGCAAAACACTAGCAATTAAAGCTCAACACAAGTAAAGTGCAGTGAATTAGAGTGCAATAAGCGACTATAACACGAGATTATAGCCTACCATCAATATGTACAATATCAGAGGGTGATTCTAAGGCCTGCGAATGTGACGGCAGATTTACCTTGAGTCTCCACAGCAAAACCCGAACAGCAAGCTATTGATCAACCGACTCCGAAATACACGGATCTGCATAAAAATGTGCAGAAAGCGTAGCATGAGTACACCATAGCGGTACCCAGTAAGTATCAAGACTAACCTCGGTAGAGTAGTGACGAGGGACAATCAAGACACCTACTAGACTAAATAACCTGAACAAGTATGAAGGTGAACTATCAGGGAAACAATGTTAATATAAAGCTAAGCATGGTAAGGAAGACAAAATAATACTCGCAATGAAATACTAGAAACAACAATTAGCAACAAGAAGCAAACAGGTAACAATGTTGTAGAGTAAGATGAACACAGTCTAAAACTGGTGAAACCAAATAAAGAAAAACAAGTAACAACTCATTAAGAACCACTGTTTTATACTAGACTTATTCAAGAACTTCCACGAGGCACCAAACCTCTTACAAATTACGGGTCCCAATTCATAAACACTAATCACTTGGCATCTTGTGCCCACGTTACAATTTATAACTGCACGGGCGACTCATGTGCCAAGAGAGTGACAATATCCAATATCCACACGGACCACTCACGTGCCAATAATAACAATGACTCATGACTGCACGGACAACTCACGTGCCAACAAGATAACTCTCACACAGAAGGAAAGTACACGAGAGTACATGTAAATGGTCAATAACATCACGATTCATCTTTTTAAACTGATATGGGTGATTGAATTACGTGTATGCTTGTGCAAGTGTCCTATCACAATTCAAGTCAACAAGTGAGAGTAAAGGCAATGAATAACACATAAGAAACGATCACCACAAAATGTACACAGTATAACTCACACAAGGTAGGCACACCACTACATAAATATTAACAATCACAATGCCCATAGGTCATCACAAGTCATCACAAATCATTCCCCAACATAACCCACTTTTTCTCACCACATGCATAATAAAAAGTAAATACCCGCCTTGTCTTGTCGCACGCGCATAATAATATCACACCTTGTCTCGCCACATGCGCAAATTCACATATATATCCTGCCTTGTCACACCGCATGTGCAAATATCAATAGTAACAACAGCACTGATAACTCACGTGCAAACACCCCGACAATCCTCTCAACAATACCACGTGTGCCAAAACATAAAAACGCAATAAAATGACCTTCACAACATGTGCACATATGCACAACATTTCCTCAAAATAGTTTCAATACCACAACCATGCATAGCCCTCAAATCAACAACACTGAGTACAACAGCAACAATAACAATAACTCGAGAATACGATAAGTAAATCAACACAAGAACTTCAAAACACAAAGAAACGGAAGAACGAGCTCACAAAGAAAGACACAACAAGGAATAATGGTCTCAATAATAATAGATCAACAAGGGAGAGATAATGTGTATCAACGATTCCACAAAAGTTCAATTTGACGATAAGAGAGAGCATGAATCAATGACCCCAAATAAGAATACGTCAATGATAAAAGGGATAACAAAACATCAATTAAGGCTAAGCAATTACAGAAGAGATAAGAAAAACTTCAATTAAGGTTAAGCAATTACGGAAGAGATAATAATAGCTTTAATTAAGGTTAAGCAATTACAGAAGAAATAATAATAACTTCAATTAAGATTAAATAATTACGAAAGAAAAAATAATAACTTCAACTAAGGTTAAGCAATTACGTAAGAAATAATAATAACTTCAATTAAGATTAAATAATTACGAAAGAAAAAATAATAACTTCAACTAAGGTTAAGCAATTACGTAAGAAATAATAATAACTTCAATTAAGGTTAAGCAATTACAGAAGAAATAATAATAACTTCAATTAAGGTTATGCAATTACGGAAGAGATAGCATGGCAATAAAAGAGGCAACAACTTTAGTTAAGGCACATAAAAGTTTAATTGGAAATCAGGGTAGAACATAAATCAATTAATCCCAAATAAGACTCGTAAGGGTGAATTTAGTAAAGGGAGGATTTAACATGACAAAACAACTTCACATCTAATGAACATAAGAACCTAACCCTAAACAGTCCAATTCCCACAATTAAGCCCGAGTACGTACTTGTCCCCTCGTGTACACGGCCTTCACATGACACAATTAGCACATATGACTCAAATTCTAATGGGTAGTTCCCTCATATAAAGTTAGACAAGATACTTACCTCAAAGGAGCTAGATCGATACTCAAAAATGACCTTCTCGAGTGAAACACCCTCAAAGGAGCTACTGAGCAAACGCGAAGGAAAAAATCTTCCAAGCTACGTGATCGCGAGCTCCTATTCACGAACACAAATATCAATACTACCTTCCACCAAATTACACTACGCGAACTCCGTTGTTTCATCGCGAATGCGATGAAGAACACCAAATACCAGCAAAACAACAGTCCAACAACATGGAGAAATGGCCCGTAGCTAATCCGAAACATACCCGAGCCCCCCGCGACCTTATCCGAACATACCAACAAGTCCTATAACATAACACAGACCTACTCTAGGCCTCAAACCACATCAAACAATATCGAAACTACGAATCACACCACGAATCGAACTTATGAATTTCCAAATCTCCCAACTTCCAAAACGCATGTTGAAACATATCAAAGCAACTCGTAATGACTTCAAATTTTGCATGCAAGTCCCAAATGACATAAAAAAGATAATTCAACTCTCAGAAATAGAATCCAAGCCCGATATCAACAAAGTCAAACTCCCAGTCAAACCTCCCAATATTCCAAAACTTCAACTTTCCAATTTTTGCTGAAATGCTTCAAATTACTTTTCGGACCTCCACCATCCAAATACGGATGCACGCCTAAGTCCAAAATCACCATACGAAGCTATTGAAATCATCTAAATTCCATTACGGAGTCGTCTACACAAAAGTCAAACTCTGGTCAACTCTTACCGCTTAAGCTTCTAAAATAAGAATCCTTCTTCCAAATTGATGTTGAATCGTCTGAAATTCGGACTCGGCCATACACGCAAGTCATAACATATAATAAGAAGATGCTCAAGCCCTTAAGCCACTGAACGGGATGCTAATTCTAAAAATGACCAGTCAGGTCGTTAAAAGAAGGATTGGACTTATAAGGAGGAGCCGGTGGCTATTCTAGCCCAACAGGTCCGGAAGTTGGGGTTTAAGAGTTATCCTTTAGATAGAGTCAGTGGAGAGATCAGTCGATTGAGGTAGTCACGTGGG